GGCTCTTTGGCTTAGAAATGGAGATGAACACCACCCCCCAGAGTTGGACACGACTGGACTTAATGTCAGGGGAAAACCTTTACCTTTACTACGGCATTGAATATTTGCCTTTCATGTTGTAAGCTGCCCTGTGTCCCCATGAAGAGATGAGCCAGGATATAAATAAAGGTTTGTTGTTGTTGTTATTGTTGTTGCATTTGCTGTATTTTAATTTATTATCGAAGGCTTTCATGGCCGGAATCAGGTTGTTGTAGGTTTTTTCGGGCTATATGGCCATGTTCTAGAGGCATTCTCTCCTGACGTTTCACCTGCATCTATGGCAAGCATCCTCAGAAACATTCACACCTAGTTCCAGCAGACAAGAGCTCTTTGTCCCACCCTGGTCATTCCACAGATATATAAACCCATTTTCCTAGTTCCAACAGACCTCACTACCTCTGAGGATGCTTGCCATAGATGCAGGCAAAACGTCAGGAGAGAATGCCTCTAGAACATGGCCATATAGCTCGATAAAACCTACAACAACCTGTATTTTAATTCTCTTTTTACCACACTATTAATATTTTTTTTAACTTTTGTGTTACTTTTTAAAAACTGTTTAGTGGGGATAGATGTTAGCCATTTAGCGTGGGTAGATATTAGCCGCCTTGTGTCCCCATAAAGAGAAAGGCGGGATATAAATAATGATGATGATGATAAGGATGATAATAATAACAATAACAATACCCTCCTCTTTATAGATCTGTATCTGATTGTAAGTGTCCCATCCATCAAGAAATATAAACCACTAGCACCCTCCCCATGGGACGTAGCAGCCTATAATGAAAGGACCAAGGCATTGACATCCCCAGCCCATCCTCTGTTCAGATATCAGCTAGTACGCCAAGGCCTTAAATCAGAGTTTCTCAACCTGGGGGTTGGGAGGGGGTGCCAGAGGGGTCGCCAAAGACCATCAGAAAGCAAGAGTATTTTCTGTTGGTCATGGGGGTTCTGTGTGGGAAGTTTGGCCCAATTCTATTGTTGGTGAGGTTCAGACTGCTCTTTGATTGTAGGTGAACTATAAAGCAACTACAACTCACAAATGTCAAGGTCTATTTTCCCGAAACTCCACCAATGTTCACATTTGAGAATATTGAGTATTGGTGCTAAGTTTGGTCCAGATCCATCATTGTTTGAGTGCTCTCTGGACATAGGTGAACTACAACTCCAAAACACAAGGTCAATGACCATCAAAGCCTTCCAGTATTTTCTGTTGGTCATGGGAGTCCTGTGTGCCAAGTTTGGTTCAGTTCCATTGGTGGTAGAGTTTCAAATGCTCTTTGATTGTAGGTTGAACTATAAATCCCAGCAACTACAACTCCCAAATGACAAAATCAACCCCCCCCCCCCATCCCACCAGATGCCAAATTTGATCCAGTGAATGAAAATACATCCTGCATATCAGATATTTACATTACAATTCATAACAGTAGCAAAATTACAGTTATGAAGTAGCAATGAAAATAATTTTATGGTTGGGGGTCATCACAACATGAGGAACTGTATTAAGGGGTCGCGGCATTAGGAAGGTTGAGAACCACTGGCTTAAATCAAGAAATAGCTTCCTAAGGTCTACAGAGATACTTGCAGGAACACCTCAGCAAGCGAGAGTCCAAAAGTGGCAGGCTAAAACCCGTAACTTCAATCCATGGCTGATAACTGGATAAGAGACTCCTTCTTGGGCACACAGAAGACTGGGTGACTTGGAAGGCGCTGAACAGACTGCACTCTGTTTTCAAACTGCTAGGTTGGCAGGAGCTGGGGCTATCAACAGGAGCTCACCCTGTCCTGCGGATTCAAACTGCAGACCTTCCTGTCAACACGTCCAGCAGCTCAGCGGTTTAACCTGCTGTGCCACCGCAGTGTTCTTAGTTGAACGCTAAGAAAACTATATATATATATATATATATATATATATATATATATAATATATATATATATATATATATATATATATATATATAATAAAGACTGGATATATTTTACATAACTTTCAAGTAGACAATGAAGACATTAAACTGTCCAAGATATTCTATACTTAAATGGAAAATAAATGGAAACTGCAATCAAGAAATTGGAAAAAAAGACTAGGACCTGGAAAGACATCTATAAGGGAACTTTTTTTTTCCATTGATAAACTGCAAGTTGCTTCTGGTGTGAGAGAATTGACCGTCTGCAAGGACGCTGCCTAGGGGACGCCTGGATGTCTTGATGTTTTACCACCCTTGTGAGAGGCTTCTTTTATGTCCCTGCATAGTGAGCTCGAGCTAACAGAGGGAGCTCACCCACGCTCTCCCCGGATTTGAATCTGCGACTGGATTTGAAGGAGATATACAGAGCCAACCTTAAGAAATGGGGCCACAAAGCGGAGTCCACGACATGCGAGTGTGGAGAAGAGCAAATTAGAGACCACTGACTACAATGCCACTTGCACAAGGAGGACCTTCTCACAACAACACCAAAGGCACTCCAAGTGGCCAGCTTCCGGTCAAAGGAAATTTAGCATAATGCCAAGTTTTGAGCATTATTTGTGTTTTTAAATATATTATAACTGCATCATCAATTTGTTTCTGACACGATAAATAAATACCCTCCCTGATATATTGTCGAAGGCTTCCATGGCTGGAATCACTAGGTTCTTGTGGGTTTTTTGGGGCTGTATGGCCATGTTCTAGAGGCATTTTCTCCTGACGTTTCGCCTGCATCTATGGCAAGCATCCTCAGAAGGTAGTGAGGTCTGTTGAAACTAGTTGGAGTCAAAACACGAGGATGCTTGCCATAGATGCAAGCGAAACCTCAGGAGAAAATGCCTCTAGAACATGGCAATATAGCCCAAAGACCTCAAAGAGGTCTCCCTGATGTTTAAATGCCCCATCCACCAAGAACTCATTTTCTCCATGCACCCAGTGCCCAACTTAAACCCTATTTATTGGGGACTGACCCTAACAGAGAAGGAATGGCAATGCTATCTCGTCTGGCAGGCTGAAAAATAACAAGCCAAGCCACCTAAGCTGCCTTCAGAGTCAAGTCTATGGACATGCCACACCTTTGGAAACAACAACCCTGAATCCTTGCAACACTTGCCGAAGAAGAAAGACCAAGAGACCTCCATAGCCAAGCCCCAAATTAGCTCAACCATCAAATAATCACTGTTTTTGTTATCATCCCTGCTGAAAGCTTGGAGAGCTTGGGTGTGGTGAGGAGCTCTCCAAGGGATGGAGATTCCCCCATCTTGCTTGGATGGCTTTTGGGGCAAAAGGAGCCAGCAAGGCCGCACCTAGGAAGCCTCAAGGCTTGCCTTCCTTAGGGATGGAGGCAGCAAAGGCAGGGATGGGGGGTGGAAAGATGGGCAAATATGTTTCCAAAGCATCCTCTCACGCCCGACTTGGCTGCTTCGGGTTCCCTGGCGCATCCTTAAGCATCATGAAGGGAGAAAAGGAGGAGGGAGGGAGGGAGGAGGGGAGAGAGGGAGGAAGGAAGGGTGGAAGGAAAGAAGGAGGAAGGGAAAAAGAAGGAAGAAGGAAGGAAAGGAAGGAAAGAGAGAAGGAAGGAAGTAAGGCAAGGAAGGATGAAAGGGAAGGAAGGAGGGAGGGAGGGAGGGAGGGAAGAAGGAAGGAAGGAAAGAAGGAAGGAAGGAAGGAAGGAAGGGGAAGGAAGGAAGGAAGGAAGGAAGGAAGGAAAGGAAGGAAGGGGAAGGAAGGAGGGAAAAGGGAGGAAAAATGGAGGATGGAGGAAGGAAGGGAGGAGGGGGGAAGGAGGAGGAAGGAAAGGAAGGAAGGAAGGGGAAGGAAGGGGAAGGAAGGGGAAGGAAGGAAGGAAGGAAGGAAGGAAGGAAGGAAGGAAGGAGAGAAAGGGAGGAAGGAGGGAAAGGAAGGAAAAAGGGTAGGATGGATGGAAGGAAGGGAGAGGGAGGGAGGGAAGGAAGGAAGGAAGGAAAGAAAGGGAAGGAAGGATGGATGGAAGGAAGGAAGGAAGGAAGGAAGGGGGAAGGAAGGAAGCGAGGAAGGAGGAAGGAAGGAAGGAGGAAGGAAGGAAGGAAGGAAGGAGAGAAAGGGAGGAAGGAGGGAAAGGAAGGAAAAAGGGTAGGATGGATGGAAGGAAGGGAGAGAGGGAGGGAGGGAAGGAAGGAAGGAAGGAAGGAAGGAAAGAAAGGGAAGGAAGGAGGAGGAAGGGGAAGGAAGAAGGAAGGAAGGAAGGAAGGGGGAAGGAAGGAGAGGAAGAGGAAGGAAGGAAGGAGGAAGGAGGAAAGGAAGAAGGGGGGGAAGGGGGAAGGAAGGAAGGAAGGAAGGAAGGAAGGAAGGAAGGAAGAAGGAGGAAGGAGAGAAGGAAGGAAGGAAGGAGGAGGGAAGGAAGGAAAGGAAGGGAAAGAAGGAGGAAGGAGAAGGGAAGGAAGGAGGGAAGGAAGAAAAAAAAAAGGGGGAAAAAAAAGAAAGAAAGAAAGAAAGGAAAGAGAAGGGAAAGGAAGGAAGGAAAGGAAGGAAGGAGGAGGAAGGAAGGAAGGAAGAAGAGAGGAAAGGGAAAGGAGGGAAGGAAGGAAGGAAGAAGGAAGAAGAAAAAAGAGGAAGGAAGGAAGGAAGGAAGGAAGGAAGGAAGGAAGGAAGGAAGGAAAGAGGGAAGGAAATGGGAAGGGAGAAGGGAAGGAAGGAGGGAGGGAGGAAAAGGGAGGGAAGGAAGGAAGGAAGGAGGGAAGGGAAGAAAGGAGGAAGGGAAGGAGGGAAGGGGAAGGAGGAAGGGAGGAAGGAAGGAAGAAGGAAAGGAAGGAGAAAAGGAAGGAAAGAGGGATGGAGGGAAGGAGAGAAGGAAGGAAGACAGGAGGAGGGAAGGCAGGAGCCAAAGGGATGCTCCAGATGCTGCTAGTCTTGCTGCAAACGCCTGCCTCCTTTCTGCCTCCCCAAGCCCGGGAGGGATGGAGGCGCGCATCTCGAAGCCAGCGCAGATGGGGGCGGGCATCCTCCACTCACCCTGGTCCTCGTTCCCGGCGGAGTGGAAGATGCGATGGGCTCCCCCGAGCCTCTCCTCCTCCGCCTCGATCCCTCCACAACAGATCCCGACCAGAGGCTGGGCTGACTGTCAACAGGCACAGCGGCGGATGGCTCTCCGTCTCTTCTCTCTCTGGCCAGCTCCCCTCCTCGCCCCTGCGGCTGCGCAGCCTCTCAGCCCTTGCTGAGCACTCTGGGACTTGTAGTTCCTATGTGGCTTCGCAAGACAGGCAGGGGACTCCTCTGGAGGGGCATCTCCCCTGCAGGGTGGGTGCAGGCTCTTGGCACCCCTTGAGCTGCCCGGGATGAAGGCTGTGGCTAGTTTTATGAATCATCATGTAAATATCTGATATGCAGGATGGATTTTCATTCACTGGACCAAGTTTGGCACAAATACCCGATACACCCAAATTTGAATACTGGTTGGGTTCGGGGGGGGGGGGG